TGGGAAACCTTGCTCTATATCAAGGAGCATCATTTATGGTACATAAAAAGCATCTTGTTTTACAGTCTACAGTAACAGAAGCGTTAAAATGAGTTCAGCATGGAGTATTCAGTAATGACCTCTCTTTCTTGACTCCAGCTGGTTGGGTTGTGTCTTTTTTGAGCTGCTGGTCTTGAGTCATAAGTGGCAGTAGATTGATGGCGATTCCCCCTTGACTCTCATCCTCGTCCAAATTATGCATCACAGAGGCAGGAAACACAAACGGGCTGAGAGAGACACACAAGAGGGGTCATGAGAAAGCCAAGACATAAAAACGCTGGAATTTAAACAAATAAATGAAAAAAGCAGGTCGTCAAGATTATACTACTCTTTATGAGCTCTGAATGTGTCACTCACCCTGATAAATCTGGTCCAAGGTCTACAATAAAGTCTTCCTGAAAATCCTCTAGCACACTCTTCCCGATCCATGCCTAAGAATGATATAGCCATAATAGAGAGTTTAATATACTAATTTAATACATAGTCCTTTTAGTCATGTAGATATCCATCTGAAATGTATTGCTTTTTGTCTATAACTCAATTAAAGAGACAGTTCACCCATTAAAATACAATTCTGTTAGCATTTACTCACTCACATCATGTCATTTCAAACTCATTTGGAGACAGAATTTTAAAAATCTAAGATGAGGACATGAAGGCTGTTTTAAGGGGCTATTTACAGTCAATAACCCACACACACCTGAACTAGAGGGTCCAGTTTGCAGGTCTGCAGCAGGTTGGCCAGCTCATCGTAATAGAGAGCGGCAGCTTCAGGGGAACTCTCACTGCATGAGCGTACCAGCTCCAACAGAGCCATCACCTACAGACACAGCAACACTCAAAACCTTACGTGGTACATGGGTCAGCGACAACAAGTAAGGAGTGAAAGTAGGCAACACATTTATAATGTTCCAAAACTTTTCATTTCAAATAAATGGCATTGTTTTATTCTATTCTATTCATCTAAGAATCCAGAAAGCGTATTATAGTTTCCAAAAAATATTAAGCAACACAACTGTTTTCAACATTGATAATAATAAAAGATCTTGAGCATCAAATCGGCATATTAGAATGATTTCTGATGAATCATGTGACACTGAAGACTGGAGGAATGGCTACTGAAAATTTAGCTTTGCATCACCGGTAGAAATTACCATTTAAAACATTAAAAACAGTCCTTTTAAATTGAAATATATTGCTGCTTTTTACTGTATATTTGATCAAATAAATGCAGCCTTGGTGAGCATAAGAGACTTTTTGAAGGGTACTGTGTACACTCAAACCGTCAGATCATTTCACTCACCTGTCTGTGTGTCTCTTTGGGCAGTGTGCCACCCTGAGAGCCATCAGGTTTATTTCTACATAAACAACACAAGACCAAAAACAGTAAAGACCAAAGATCACAAGCTTATACACAAGGTGTATAAGTGAAAAACACTGCAATGCACCAGCAAAGAGAGTACCTGCAGGCCCCCATACTGCCCACCATCATGACTGCACCAATAATACCAATACGCTTGTACTTGGGCACCGTGCTAGACAGCTGCTTACGGATGACGATGTGCATGTCATCCTGGTGAAGGACATACAGAGATTTGACAGAATTATCATTTTTGGATCAGCTATACCATTAATTGAAAAAAATGACAACTATACCTTTAAGGTACAGTGTGTTTCTCACCTGGATGTGTCCTCCGTGCTGCTCCTGTCCAAATGCCAGGCAGCTGAGCAGGTGGAAGAGTCGTCTGATCTGCTGTGAGGTCAGGTTGTCCATGTAGTCCAGAATACCCTGCCAGAATACCCACAATTCACACCAGCAAACTGGTTAAATATCATTATGTACTTGAAAAGACAAAATAAAACAATTTTGATTCGAGTCAATCTGACTTAATGAAAAGAACTGACTCGGAAAACCAATTTCCTTCCCTATATAGGCAGGTTTGTACCTTAACAAAAACGGTGAACTGGCTCATTTCTGCAGGCTTCTGAGATACCAGCTCACAGAGCAGCTCAAGAGCCACATCCACTTCACCACTCACACCACTGCATGCGTGTGTGACCAGAGAGCCCACCACCTCCTACATAACAAACACACATGTACTGGACATCAGTGCAGGTCTTTAAATGAATGTTAGGGCCCATAAATCTGCAGTTGTGAGCTGGTATTAAGAGGTATTTCTTTTCTTACCTGCTGACAGTAGGAGTCAAAGGCAGTGAAGGCCTGTTTGTACATGTGACCTCCGAAAGGCACCACAAAGCAGTCTGGAGAACGCAAGAGTCCCTGAGCTAGAGCCAGAATTGATGGGAAATAACCCCGCATAACCTGTATGAAACATTTACACCATCCTTGATATGTACAAGGAAAGCCAACACTTCACGTAGCATAAATAGGGCTGTTTCTTGGTCATAAGCATGTGAATGAAAGCAGACCTGAGCATGACCCTTAAAGGTCTTCTGCAAGAGGTTTTCCTGAATCAGACCCTTGCGAACTTTGACTTTGAGCACTCTCTCCGCCCCACGACGGCTGTGGTTTGCATTAGTGGAGTGAAGGATGAACAGCACCAACAGGTCAACCACCTGAGAGACACAACAAGTTACGTTAATTCTTGCATGTTGGATGTTCAGGTATGAAATGTGTCAAAAATAATGGGAATCGCATAAAAACATTTTGATAGAAGTCAATCAAACCTTATGGTCGTCTGACTCATCAACATTCTCTATTGCCTGAAATTCAAAAATTCGAACAGTAATTAAATAACTTCAGTTGCATGGAAATATTGTACCTAGTGCTTGAAGGCAGAAAGAAAACCAAAAAAAGCCATCAAGATTATATGAACTCACTTTTAGCCAAGCCTCTGAGATGGTCTTCTGAAAGCGGATAGCTGACTTAATGACCTCCAAAACCAAAGCCACACTGTCCTGACCATTGTTGCATGATGGGACCCTGGAGGACCCGAGTAGTGACATTAAAATCAAGAACAAGACAAGCAGAACCAGACATATTTACAACTTCTTATTTGTCTTCCAGAGAATAAAGCAGTCATATGGGTCTGGGAGGGACAGAGTAAGTAAATGAAGATAGAATTTTATTCAAGAGAAAGCAGGAAAAAGTCTCACCCTGACATGGCTTTGCTTTTCATACGACTCTGGGAAGCCTGCAACACTGCTGGCAAAACACACTGCTCCAACTCCAGCTTTTTACGCAGGTCACACACCACCTGAGGAGCATGAAAGGACATGAGCATAACTACAGCTCTACAGGAAATTGATTTAAAATTGTCTACCAGAGAAAAGACATTTTTATGAACAAAACATAAACAAAAGGTCATAAACAAAGGTCAGTTTAGAGGCCTGACCTCATTAGCATCAGATGCAGAGATGAAGTGTAAGATGAACTTGACTACAACAGGAAGATCCTCTAACTGCACAGCAGAGAGAGTTCCCATTACTACCTCGCGCACCTGATAGAGAGAAAGTCACAGTATACATTAGAGTCTAAAAGGCAAAATAAATTAATATTTTTATTCAGCAAAGATGCTTTAAAAGGATAAAAAGTGACTTTTACATAAACATACATATTTTTTAAAATATTTAACTTTAAACTTTCTATTCATCAAATAATCCTCAAAAAATTATCAGTTAATATTAAGAAGAAACTCTTTTCAACATTGATGATAATAGGAAATGTTTCTTGAGCACTAAATCAGTATATTAAAATGATATTTGGAGGATTATGTGACAATGAAGACTGGAGAAATGGCTGCTACAAACTCAGCTTTGCCACCACAGGAATAAATTATATTATAAAACATGAATGTTATTTTAAATTGCAATAATATTTAAAAATATTCCTGTTTTACTCTATTTTTGATTAAATAAATGCAGCATGACATACTTCTTTCAAAAACATTAAACCTAACCTTTTTTCGTTAAAGAATTATTTAAAGCAATAACACTGGGACCAATACGTTTTAGGGAAGATATCTGCATGTTTAGAAGTACCTCGGACAGTAACGCAGAGCTCAGATTCAAACTGGATAAAGCATCCAATATAGGCACAGGGAGTTGAGTGTTTTGCTGAAGTAAACCACTGCACAAGGGAGAAGACACGAACACAGACTCACTTAAACAATATACACGATGATAATAAGCACCTACATTATAGTCGCACTCAACAGCCATAATTACTAAACCAAACATAGGTCAAAACAACACAACTTCAATTCCATGCATTGGGAAATGGCACAGAAAATAACAGGCTCAGCTACTGCTGAAGTACTTTAGCTCTTTGGCCATATCTCCATGCTGGGAATCCTCCAGGATTTCAGGCAGGCTGGTAATAATGTCCCGCTGGATCTCCACCGGAGCCACAGACACCATCTGCATCAGCTTACTGCTCAAATCCTACACATACACAGCAGTTATATCAGTCAGACATTGGTCACGGCAGTGCCATCATTTGGCTTTGACAAACATTTGTCTGCTACAAAGGAACTCTTGGCAATTTTGATGTTCACTGGGACATTTCCATCATGTAGGATTCTCACACAGACAGTATCAGTGGACTGTGTACCTTGCCATCTACAATTCGGTCCAGCCACTTCAACTGGTTTATTATGAGACGGGGAACATTGAGGCCGTCCTCGCTCACACTGTAACAGAGAACATTGCCATCAGTGATAAGGGAATGTTACAGGACTGTGTCTGTAATTAAAGTGTGTATATAAAAATTTACCCCTCAAACATGAATTCTGGAAGCTTTTCGAACAAAGTGTTAATAATAATAATAATAATAATAATTTATTAATAATTCATTCATTCATTTAAAAAATGTGTTAGTTATATGTGTATAAATAATTTGTTAGTTGATATGAACATGCATGTATGCATTGTGATTTCACCTTTATTGTATACAATACATACTTTCTCATTCATTATCTTACCAATTTCATTAGCTGTACTGCCAGCTGTCAAAGTGACACCAGATTCCTTCAGAAACTGAACAAAAACTGAGTCCGGGTAGGAGTCCTGTAATGAAGATTTTGTTGGTCGTCCACTGCTCTTGGTCTTTTTTGATTCTGTGCGAATGGAGAGACGTTACAAAAAGTCCAAAAATAAATATTTTTAATTTCACTTAATGTACAAAGATTTTAGCCATCCCAGATTTATTTTAGACGTGACGTCATCAGGAACTTACTAGGAACGTCAAGTGTGGAATCGTCATCGACTGTGATGGATGAGCGCTTCTTCTTACGCATCATCTTTAACTCAGATCAGATCCGATCAGATGGAAATGATAAATAACGGATATGACCTGTTGGGGTTACAACAAGCAGCTATTTCAGAAAACTGTGTACACAACTGACAGTTCAATAATGACAATCCTGGTTCAAACAATCCCAGAATCCAATCTCTGAAGATGGTAAACAATCAGTTCACGCTGGCAAGAGCTAAATTACATATTCGACTAACTCGACGAAATTACCGTATTTGAGACAAAATGTGGTCAGAAGTGTTTACCTTAACGTTACCCCCCGCGATGCTGATCTTAAACGTTTGTAATTTTGATGTGATACTAATAAATGCTGATTAAATTTAGACGTGAGCATAAAATGTATGCTTCCTTCAACAGGCTAAAAGATCAGTCTGTCACACAAAGCTTCCCGCGCCAGTGTTTCGTAAAATCTAGGGACCGTGGTAAAATCCTCAAATCTGTTTTGAAATACAAATTGTTTTGGGATGTTACTGTATGTTTTGTCTATTAACTGTATCTGTCTATTAACTGTATCTGTCTTTATAAGTGTAACATACGAAAGACATCACAAAACACGTCATCAGATTCACAGATAAGAAGATAAACTTTCTCAACCATTAAGCAGTCAACAGAACACTTTGATAACACTCCCTAATATTATATGGGCGTGTATTACAAGTAGGCGTGGAGCGTCTTGCCATGATTGGTCGCTGCATAGCACACCGCCCACGTTTATCCGTTTTATACAAGTGTCACTTTCCTAGATTCTGTATTAGTGACCTGCGAGACAACTGTGCGGGTCTAAACATGGCTGGAATAAAATCGTTTTACGACACCACAGCCAAAACCCTCACTGGAGAGGAGCTCAAGTTTTCTTCTCTGCAGGGAAAGGTGGTCCTGATCGAGAATGTCGCTTCTCTTTGAGGAACGACCTCCAGGGATTACACCCAGATGAACGAGCTCCACGAACGCTTCTCAGATAAAGGGCTTGTGATTCTGGGAGTTCCCTGCAATCAGTTCGGCTATCAGGTAAGATGACTTACAGTAAACTCCTTGTTTGATTCAATAGCTCTTCACTGTCGAACAGGTGCCTGTGGCGCACTCGTTCTGTCACCACCTGCTGTCTTACACCTGTTTTTATGTATGACGGTTCATCTGTATAAAATCTTGACGGTAACACTTACTTATTTTTAAGTAATTAATCAACATTTGTAAATTATGTAATACTTAAAAGATGATTAGTTGCTTTACAATACAATAGAAATATCAAGAAATGTTAGTTTACATAATTAAATATATAGATATATTTGGATATTAATTACTGATATAATAAATTATATTATATTATGAAGTATTATAAAACAGATCAGTCGTGTTTTGAATGTTGATCCCATAGCCATCTTTTTAAATTGAAGAACAATAAAGAAACAGCTGTAGTAGATAGATAAATATGTGGATGCAGTTTAAGATAATAATACTTTTATTTTTATAACTAACTAACTAAATAAAAGTAGCTATATTTAATTAAATGATAGATTTAGATTTATTATTAAAATAATATAAAGTATATGTAAAAGACTCAATAACCAAAGCAAAACTCAGTTGTATCAAATTTGCTTTTATGCATATAAAATGTACCAAATTTACTGAATAACTAAATAAAAGATTTCTTATTAATACATTGTTAATACAGTATATGCAAGAGACTTAACAACCAAAGCAACACTCAGTTGTATAAAATTTGCTTCTATGTTTATGAAATTTACCAAATCAAAGTCAAATAAAAAAAAAAAGTCCAATTAAGTAATCACATATAAAAAAAAGTGACCACATATGTGCGTATTAAGCAATACTCTTTTGAAATGATTTTCCTTTGGCTTAGTAGTAATTTTGTTTTAAAAAGATTCTCTAATATGGTTATTGTATAATTTTTTCTTCTAATAAATAAATGTAATAATGAGCCATGACTATACTCAACTCTTGACTATATTCTCAATTTAGGAGGGCCTCTCATACTTCACTGCCTAATTAGATATTGTTTAGTAAAGACATAATAATCAAAGTTATCTATCTATCTATCTTTTGCTTTGCTGTTTTAGGAAAACTGTACAAATGAAGAGATCCTTCCGTCCTTAAAGTATGTCCGTCCTGGCAATGGCTTTGAACCTAAATTCCAGCTCTTGGAGAAGGTCGACGTGAACGGGAAAACCGCTCACCCTCTCTTCGTCTTCCTTAAGGAGAAACTTCCATTCCCGAGCGATGAGCCAATGCCCTTCATGAATGACCCCAAATTTATCGTGTGGAGTCCCGTGTGCAGAAACGACATCGCTTGGAATTTCGAGAAGTTTCTCATTGGATCTGATGGAGTGCCATTCAAACGCTACAGCAGGAGATACCTGACCAGCAACATCGAGGGAGACATCAAGAAACTTCTCAGCATAGCCAACTAAAATGGTTTTGTGGTCAAAAGGGTGTCAAAATAAATTAATATCCCAGCTTCTGCATTTCATACCTTCTTTGACCTATATGGGTCTCCAATAGGTGTTCATGACAGGTTGTGCTCTCATGTGCATGATGTTGCTGTGTTTGGACTTTTACTTCATGAAGGTGCTCCTGTAAACATGCGTTGTCTGTGGGGAGCATCTGATGCCATGCAAAAGTCCTAACTGAACGGTTTCATTTAGCTCTTGTATGGCACAACATGCAATTTGGACCAATAAATGTGTTTTCTACTCAAGACTAAAGATTGCCTTTTTTATTTCAGCTTCAGTTAATGTGGCAGGACAAAAACGCAGAGCTTTAGGGTTTTGTCTATTGTGTAATACGGTACTGATCATCAGGTGCTTTGAAGAGATTCATTCTGTATTAATGAGTTCCAGTGGAAACTTATCTCTAGTGTGGGGGTGTGAGGCGGGAGTAGAATTTCCCACTGCATTTACTAAGCCAAACATATTTGCATGCAGTTGCACTTACCTTCAAAAAAAAAAAAAAAAATTCATTTAAAAAAAAATATATATAATAACTGACCACCAAATCAGCATATCAAAATTATGATCATGAAGGATCATGTGACACTAAAGACCAGGGCCCGTATTCACAAAACATTATATCTTACCACTAAGTGTTCTTCTAAATAGCAGTAAAAGTTTTTAACTAAGTGTTTTCTCTTAAAACCTATTCACAAAGCTGCTGAGACAAACTTTTCTAAAGAATAGAGAGAAGTCTTAAGCTAAGAGCAAGGGCGGGGTTGACCTTGTTGCTATGGATGATGTCAGCATGTTTACTAACTTTGCAAACAGTGATTGGCTGATAGGGGGAGGGGTCTCTGTCAGAGATTTATTCATAGAAATATTGTAGAGTGCAATATTATGTTGCCATATTCAAATAAAGTTTAAAAATAAAAATGTTAATTGCCACATTCAAATAAAGTTTAAAAATAAAAATGTTAATTGCCACATTCAAATAAAGTTTAAAAATAAAAATGTTAATTGCCACATTCAAATAAAGTTTAAAAATAAAAATGTTAATTGCCACATTCAAATAAAGATTTAAAAATGCAGGCAAATGTCACTAAGTATATGTTCAGCTAATTGTCAGCCTCTTACATGTATGCTTCTCATAATTGGCGAATATGCATATAAACAGCCTTTTAATTAACAAAGTAGAATAATCATGGCTGATAGTAAGACATGCAAACATAAAGGAAAACCAAACTGGACACAAGCACAGCTGTTACTTTTGCCCAGCTAGTTAATGAAAACAACAATACAATCAAAGGAAAATCTGGAGTTGGGATAACCTCCAAAACCAATAAAAGCTCATTATAGTCAAATATTTCTCAAATGTTTATGTTCTGAGGCAGATTGCCGGCAACAGCCATTTTAGGATAGTTTGTGGCTTGGTCTTAGTGACTTGGGAGTCCTCTTCACTACTCCTAATGTTTCACAGATTTAGGAGCTAGTTTTAGTGCTGAAAACTTTGTGAAATACTTTTAGAGCAAAAAATTAGGAGTCCTAAATTTAGGACTGAAATGCCCATTATTTTTAATATTTTCTCCTAAATCAGCGAGTTATGAGTTACTTTTAGCCAAAAGATATTTTGTGAATACGGGCCCAGATTACTGGCTGCTGAAAAATCAGCTTAGAAATAACAAGAATAAATTACATATTAAACACACAAATATTATACTATAGGAATAAATATATAGAAATATAAAGAGTTTTTTTAATTGTAATATTTCACAATATTATTGTTTACGGTTTATCAAATAAATGCAGGGTTGGCGAGAATAAGATTGCTTGACATCATTCAATACACAACAAAAATATCTAAATGCACACATCATTATTAAAAAAAATGTTGCAAACATTCATACATCCGTTTCCGTTTACAACAGCCAAAACCAATGCAGATTTCACCATGTACTCTCAAAACAGTCGAACTAGTTATGCGAGTCTTTCAAGCCAATAATTTTACATTTTATATTTACATTTACGTATTTGGCAGATGCTTTTATGCAAAGCGACTTGCATTGCATTCAAGGCTTATACATTTCTATCAGTTTTTGCATTCTGTTGGAATCAAACACATTACCTTGGTATTGCTAGTGCAATTGGAAATAATATAAAATAGCAATAACAAATAATGGGTAGCTACGTGGAATCATTTAACTGATCCTGAAGATTATGACAGATTCATAAATCATCTGATGCAAATTGATTTACTTAATGTTATATAATAAGGAAAAAAACAAAAAGCCACTACCTATAATCAGGCTTCTGCATTTTATTATATTTTCAATTCAAATAGGCTTTAATCAAAATCTGGTGTTGTACATGTTGGCATGATAAATAGAAGAACACAAAGCAGCCATGTACTGTGCCCCAGATTATGATTATGTACATCTATGCAAGAAAGGTCTATGAAATTACAAAAACAAAAAATGTTTGAATGGATGTTTTACTAATGAAGGAGCTGCAGGGGGACAGCTTGAGTCTATGATCAGTTTGTCTTAAATTTTACATCTGGATCCATAAATAACAACAAGAGTGGATTTACCAGTCAGTGACTGCCAATACCATAGAGAGGTAAACACCGGGAACAACCATCTAGTTTTGCAGATTCAAAAATAGCATGCTAATTTGCCACACAAAAAAGAATATGCTTTGTGTATTATGTTCTTAGCAGTAAGAAGCACTTGTCATTTGAGCTTTGAGTTGTTGCTAAAGCCATTTGACACATAATGCCACAACTAATGGCAGATGTGCCAATGTACATCTACAGGTAATGATAAAAGCTATTCTTTTTATCAATAAGGTTGTTCTTAATTAGAACAGACATTGTTTGTGTTCCTCTTTGTCGTGTACCTGTACCTGTTCAAGTGTCAAAATTAGCACCACATTCAATATTCCTCTGGACCGAAGCCATTTAGACAGGAGAAAAATCCACCAAAAAGAAATAAAAATTGATTATTACAAAGCACAACCATCATATCTGGAAAAGAAAAAAAAATGCTCGGGCACGACCGTGACTTACGTTGTTCCACATTTTCGTAAGCTTCCCTTTTCACAGTTTTTGGGCGTAAACGGCTGTTAGTGTGAATATATTAGAGCAGCCCCCCCAAAAAAACCAACATGATAATAAACTTGACATTTTGTGGCATCCTTATAGCGGAGCGACTTTGAAAGTGAAATATTTCACCCTCCGGCATGGTATATTTAACAAAAAGCGTGGCTTGTGATAGGATAAATGAAACATGGAGACAATATTTAATATAAGAGCGCAAGCTTCTCCGAGAGAATCTCTGTGCTTATCACCACACGCTTAAGTTATTAAACACAGAGAGTCTATTCTTCACACGAGGCACATGTTACAAGATGCTGATAGCTAGAGTCCAACGTAAGTGGGTAGAGGCATAATTTAAACATGTCAGATGAGCGTAATGTTGCATACATAGTCTATGTCTAGGCATTTCCCCTCTCCTTATCTAGATCATCTAACATTCATGTCGTCCAAAGAGAGGTTATATTGCCGCTTCACCCTCGTTCTCATTTCAGACTAAAAGAAATGAGCTTCTATGATCAGCAGGCATCAAGGTCCAAGAATAAAGTCTTTCATGTCACGCTTCAAACTAAAATTCTCTTTATTTATTATTAATATTCTTTTTTTGGCTCTTGATAAAGACGCATGTGTGAAAGAAAGAAAAAATTAAAATAAAGCTAAAAACAAAGGGCCTGTTTGTGAGCCTTTAATAGTCACTGAAGTAGCCAGGGATGTGCGTCGATGCATTGATGATTTCATCTTTATGTAGTTTTTGTTTCAGTGCCAGTCCTTGAAAGACTAAAAGAAACTCAGTTGGTGTCCATGTGGTCATCCGGGGTCTCTGGAGCTCCGCCTAGTGATGCGGAGGGGGTGGATTTGGACGGCGTGTCCGCATCTCTGCGTTGGTAAAATAGCACATAGGCTGCTTTAGTCTGTGGAGAACAACAAAAAAGACAATTCTGAGTCAGTTTACAAACTAGCAACTGCCAATTCCCAGTTTCCATATTGGACTTTGAGACTCATTAACCACTGTGGAATGCTTTAGGAGTCTGCAAAAGATAATAAAACGGAAAGCGTAGTAGCCTCACCACAATCTGATCCTCAGTTGCAGACGACACACTGCTGTCGTCAAAGTAATACCATTTGCCATCCACCTTGTTCTTGCCGTATGCCGTGTCTGCAAGAGGAAATGAAACGTAGTGCTTAACGGCTGAACTTCAGCAATCAAACACAAACCAATCTATCATTTCCAGGCAGCAATATAATGACAAATACATAAATGATCAACTCTGTGATATACTTTCTGTAGTAATCCATCAAACATGAGATATCCAACTAGGCTGCAAAGGTGAACAAGTGAAGGTGATAAAGGGAAAATCAAAGGCTCCTGACACAATCTGAGAGTCGACCCAGTTATGTATTAATATGATTGTTAATACATAACTGAACATATGAATAGTAAGGGGGTGATTTCATTATCATAAAATAATAGGAGAGTTGTGCAAATTGAGTGACTTACAGTGGCCTCCGCCCATTCCTCCATAGTGGTTGGAAACAGCAATGAGGTCATAGACGTATGGGTCAGCTTTGGGGTCACAAACAAACTCTGACATGTTCAAGTCCCTGTGTGAGAAAGTATATTTTTTTTTCCAAACATGAAGTCACCAGAATTCCAGAAGTTTTCTAACAGTTCATTTGTAAACTTAATTTCATCAAAACGCATAAAAACGACCAAAGTTCAAATCACCAACAGTAAGTGTGGCTGATCAAATTGTTTATTTGAAATTATTTTAATCAAGACATCAGTACATAAGTACTAGACGGCAGTTCTGGGTTAGTGTACTCCTTTTACCACAATGAACGGCATTGTCTGTCCAGACAAGCATGACTCAGCTTCCCAGAAATTGACACCAAACGTATTGCACCTGACTTTTGTGCACTCTTTCCTTCTTCCCATTCAGTAAGGTAACCCTGACCAAATCCAAATAGGATCAAAGCCAAATGGCAAATAACATGTTGAGAAAAAAAGACGCCCAGAAATGTGGCATTTTTGGTATCTGAAGTTTCAATATTCTGCATGCTATAAATACACTATAACTCAAATTAATTTGATGAAAATAAAAATCCGATGTATTAATACAAAGTTGCACCTGAAGTTAGGTGTACATTGAGGCCTAAGACAATGACAAAAGTATTCTGTGTGGAGGGAAAACCTTTTTGGCGCCATCTGTTGGGAAATTTAATACAAGCACTTTATATGAAGAGGACACACAGTGTTGTGTCTTACTTTTAGGGACAAGTTCCACGTTTTTTTGGAGTACTGTTTTAAGATATTATGTTTTTAAAATTAACAGACTTAAGAGTAGTTAAAAAAATAGGAATAATAAAAAATTTAATAAATTATGTGTGTGTGTTTGTGTGAGTGTATGTATGTATATATATATATATATATAGTTTTACAAGCTCTTGGTGCATAAAGAAGTTTGCAAAGTTGCAAAGACTCAAATCCAAAGAGATATTCTTTATAAAAGTTAAGAGTCAACCACGCCTACCTAAAACGGCTCGTTCTAACACGCCCCCACATGTCTACGTCACGATGTGGGAAGATTTGCATAACGCCGCCCAAATGTTCACGCAAAGAAAGAAGGCGTAACTTTGATTCTCGCTGTAGTATTGTTGCTGCCGCCATGTCGAGACGCTGTGTGTTTCTGGAACAGTGTTGTAATTACAATATGTTGTAAGTACAGTATGTGGAAAATAATGTTTTTTTTTTTACCTTAAACCGCATAAAAACATTTCATTACACCAAATAATGTTCTTTTTAGCAATATCATATGACCCCTTTAATATTATTAAAGGCAAACATTGTAATACTTTCTTGTTTGCCGTCAGCATTCCGCAAATATGCATTTATATAATTTAAACAAATCTTTGAATGACTAATGAACATTTAATTTCACAAACCTTGCAGACTTAGTCGAATCTAGTTGAGATCTTGGGAAGTGTGCATGTGGCCTGCATGATCGCGTGTTCTGTGACGGTCGGTCCTATGGTCCGTGCGAATTGAAACGCGTTAATTAGTTATGAAAAAACTGGCCCCGCCCCCAGACCTGTACCTCATCTTATATTTCATACAGTTGACTGCTGACAAATATGATGCAGGGCAACAACCCCATAAACAAAGTTATGCACTAAAATTCAAGATATTGGGGCAAAAATGCCCCTGTATGAGTTTTTGTCTCATTTATATCATATGATAAGCGATATCACACGAGCAGCGAGATCAATATCACACGAGTGCTGTTTTTGTCAAGAACACGAGTGCAAATCATAGACTGTATAAGGTCCAAACAGGGACGGACTGGGAGTAAAAAACGGCCCTGGATTTTCTCCCAAATAGGCCCACCACAACTACAAACAGCCGCAACTATCTCACAATATTAAAGCAATCAATGTATCGCATTTATGGCAAATAACATCACAAAACCCATGGTGACCCTGCTGAAAAAAAACAATAGAAACCATCACAGAAATTCTAATTGGTTTCCACTACAAATACCATTACAAACAATCAACTTTTAATCATTAAAACCATGCAATAATGCTTTACTGTAGTGTGTTTTGGGACATGTTACATTAGGATTAAGTGGTTTTAACAATAATAATATTTAACAACAATAACAGGCAACCAATTACCAGTAGAGACCAATAGGGTCCATTACAATTTCCATTAAAACCAATGCAATTTCCATTATAACCAGTAAAACCATTACAAATTCTATTGATGGTTTCTATTGTTTTTTCAGCAGGGGATTGAAATAAATGTATTATATGAACTTAAATGCATGAAATCTACATAAAAAGAGCAGAAAGCAAAAATGTATGAGACATAATAATAAACAAAATCTAGAAATCTGAAACTACAGAATTCTTCAATTTGAGTATTCATACTCGTACATAGTCTGTGTGTGTGTCATGTTAATCGGAGCAATCACCTTATAGGCTACTTCAATAACACTTTATTTTCTAACTCAATATCTCTCAAGTGTAACCCGTTGTATAATCGCTGCTGTCTCTTTATGAATGAATGGAATATTCATGTCAGACCATGCTGGACGCTTGGACTAGGGGTGTCCTGGGATTTTACTATAGTGCTATAGGCTGTGTGCTCTATAGCGAGAGAAGCGGGCAAAGGTAACTTGATGTAACTGTTCGCTTTTTTTTTCTTTTAGCTTCTCCCAACCGCCTTTATCTTCACATTTTTTGCTTGCCATCACGAGCCCTCTCTCCTTTGCGTCAGTTTCGGTTTATTATAAGCAAAAATAGATTGCATTAGCACCCCCTTTTGTCGGCCGTCAACGTCACTTAATTGGACACTTTTTCTTTTATGATGAACCAGCCAGGCCGATGTGTTACATTTTAAACACAATATTGTGTGTTTTTGTTCAATTTTTGCCAACGAAAATATTACCTATAAAGCCACAGCAGAACGGTTGTGCGTCTCCGAGCAACACGGCGGCGTTTAATTTCTGAATGAATCCGCGTTTTGAACGAATCTTGTGAACCAATGATTCAAAGGCCCATTCATAAAGTGAACCGTTTACTGAATACCTGAATGAATCAGCCGTTTGAACGAATCGACTCATAAAAACATTTACCGCCACCTGCTGGTAGTTTTAGTTTCTTCTTTAGAGTATCATTTAATAAATAATTAAATGAATAAAAAGGGATAGTTCACCAAAAATAAATAAATAAATTCTGTCATTTACTCACAACATACTTAGCACAACATAAAAGAAGGTATTTTGAAGACTGTTGGTAAAGCTGTTTTGGTCACCAGTTGCTTTCATTGCATGAATAAAAATACTGAGATGTTTCTCAAATTATCTTCTTTTATGTTCCATACTTTATGTTAGCCAGTTGCAGCCTAAACATTTAACACAATAATAGCTTTAAATTATCTTTTGGGGGTATTTTCACAGCCAAATTTAGTTTGAAAATTTTAGTCTCGCAACAGATTTACCTAATTGGAAAGTCTACAACAGTGTCGAGCTTGTCTCTCCAGCAGCGGTTGTAAGAGAAGCGCTTCAGATGCACGACCAAAATGCGAGGGAGAGACCACAGGTCAAACTTCTTTGTGGCCTGCTGGTGTTTCTTACACGTGGGGCAGTACCTGCAGAGGAGCACAGCAATCAATAAAACTTCACTAAATGTGGTAATACTTCAGTAAATCATTTGACCTTGAAAGTATGGGCAATAAATGTCACAATGTGTAATGATCGGAACATCCTCCTCACCAGGGGTCGTGTTCTCCCAGGGTCTCCATTGTAGTAAAGAGCTCGATGCATTCTCTTAAAGCTACTGTAGTCTTCTTCTTCTGAGCATGTAGCATGCTCTCATGTTTGTCATAGGCCTGGGGAGAGACTTCACATTAATGTCTGAGGAGACTTAGCAGGTAGCTAAAAGATGGTTGACTAGTCAGTTTTTATGGTTTATGGTAGACATTATAATAGTTCACGTATTTGTACCAAAAATTTCAGTACTGCATGGGAACTGAGGCAAGACTTTTAAAAATTGTAAAAACTTTTTAAAAACAGTTTAAATTAAATTGCAAAAATTTAAGTGACAGTAAAAAAAAAAAAAAACCTTGTTTTTTTATATTTCTATTCATCAAATTATCCTGAAAAAAAAAAGTATCACCACTGTTAAAAACTAAGCTTAGAATCGATTCAAGAGAGAATCGCGATGCCTTCGGAAAATCTCAGAATCGATGCAGAATCATTTCTCAATTCGCGATGCATCGATTTATTTTCCCAGCCCTAAAAATAAAAAATCTCATAAAAGTTGCAGTGTGGTCTGGTCTTTTGTCTTAAATAAAACGCAGGGAGGTGGTCTCTCGGAAAAGCTCAGAATCGATGCAGAATCATTTCTCAATTCGCGATGCATCGATTTATTGTCACAGCCCTAGTATTTTGATTAAATAAAAGCAGCCTTGGTGATCATAAGAGACGTCTTGCAGTCTCAAAAACGTTTGAACAGTAGTGTAATTTTGCACAATTAGTGGATTAGAGGGCATTACCTCAGCCTCCTGGTCATCGTAGCACAATTTCTTTGTGTCTGAATCCCAATCAATGGCTACTGTAGAGTGAGCTGTAGAAAGGAATATCTGTCAGTTTTGATTTTAAGAATAAGAGCAAGTGACCCTAAAAAGTTAAAGTCAGACAAATACAGCAACAGTTAATAATCCTCCTGATTTATTTGATTCATTTTTAGTATCAAATGTAAAAAGGTAATAGTTACTTGTGAGCTTTAGGAGATTGCCATCAAATGGGAGAGAACTAATGTTGGCTGTGCCGTAGGAGTTGACCATGCTGAAAGAAAAGAGTTTCGGTCGAGAAGTAAAAGATTTTCCACCACTGCAATTGGGCCCGTTCTCTGGTTCTGAATCCTCCTCTCCATCCACAGTGTCTGAATGACTGTTCTCTGGTTCTGGACTCTCCTGGTGATCCATGGCTTCCTCATCACCTGAAACAAACGCATACAACAAAATCAGATCTGTATCTGATGAATGTTAAAAAAAACATAAATGGATGACAGTGTGAATCAGAGTATGTGAGCGGAGCGTCGTGATTTTGCCTGGAGCTAGGAGCGGATTTTTTGAAAGTCGGAGCGTTGAGGTTTTCTCTCGCTCCGAGAACACTCCATTACCGCTCCATCACGAGCACAAATTATGCCAACTCGCGCATTAAACATAATTAGTTAGCTTGACAGATATGTGGATCACATATGAAGGTTAAAATGGCGATGGACGAGTGCGGGAGGTTAAAGCATGTTGTAAATTGTAGTTTGTTAATCTCCGCTCGAAACTAATGTGCTGATACATTGCTGCACACGGACAGAACACACAAGCTCGCACATAACGTACAGATCGCGCGCATAAATTCAGGAATGAAGAAAATTTGGTCAACGCTGTCCTGTGGTTTATCAGCTTAAAAACAGAAAAGTTACAGCATATTCTTTCTGTTTCTGAAGTAACTACCCTCAGCTTCGCCATAGTAGAGAGACGTTGCACAGACAAGTAAGCTAAGCGAGTTAAGCAGTCATTTAATATGGACTTGGGCTAATTGAAGTGTTCCAATAAACCATGGTAAAACTATTCTTCTAGTACTATGCATTTATTTTTCATTTAATATAATTTCTGAACAGAACTGATTTTTCAAGCATAGTGAAATAATTTAGCCATGGAGTGAAAGCGGAGCGGTGTTTCTGATCAGTGGAGCGAGGAGTGGAGCGGGAAATGGTGAACCCGGAGCGGAGTGATTATTGAATGCTTGGAGCGCGGAGGGGAAATTGTTGCCGCTCCACTCCGCTAACGTACTCTGGTGTGAATGCAGCATTTGGGAGTATTATGCAAGTGTCAGTGTCCTACCATCACAAACTCCATTGGGGCCATTGCAGGTTCCAGAGTGGTTGCTGCCGTTGGATCCAGCGCTGCAGGAAGCTCCATCTGAAACTGGGCTGCTGCAGCCACTCAGGCCTGTGCTGTGACTGGACACTGAAGCGAGGCATTCTGGTGATTGGCTGCTGCTAGAGGATGTGGCCGAGGCAGATGCTCTACTGTCTGTAATGGTACCCTGTGAACGTTTAACGTAGCGCCTAAAACAAAAGACAGATAAAGGGTCAACTAAGTCTGCAGTAACAGAACTGGTGTAAAATTGAGATAGATCACTAAAGCACAACACCAACCCGATCCTCTCCAGCACACGATCATAAAGGGTATCTACGGTAAGGTTGTGGCGTGGGACGGTGATGAGGAGAGGCTGGCCGAAGAGCATCGTGCCCGAAGAGCCTCCGCTGTGCTTAGCATGCCTCTCTCTGAAGTACACTGGCAGGTTCATCTTCTCACTATCTTCCTCTAACACCTCATAACTAAACCACAAAGACACAATCAGTAAGAGGCCACTCACTCAAACACACTTAGCTGAACGGCAAAACTTACATTTTGCAAAACGATTCCATAAACATATGCTCCAGTTCAGAAGTTTGGAGTCAGTAAAAGTTTTTTTTTTTGTTGTTGTAAGAAATTAATACTTTTAATTAACAAGTAGGCATTAAATAGATAAAAAATGAAAGTAAAGATATTTACAATGTTATAATTAGAGCCCGACCGATATGGGCTTTTTGGGGCCGATACCGATATTAGGGAGTAAAAAAGGCCGTTATCGATATATCGGCCGATATTCTTTGTGTATATTATAGTACAGTACCAGTCAAAAGTTTGGACACTTTCCCATTCGTGTGTCCAAACATTTGACTGGTACTATATATAGAATACAGTATATACATAAACAGAATATACAGTCGTGGTCAGAATGATTGGCACCCTTGGTAAATATGATCAAAGAAAGGAGGCTGTGAAAATAAATTGGCATTGTTAATCATTTTGATCTTTTATTTTAAAAATTCACATAAATCTAACCTTTCATTGGAGAATAAGAATTTAAAATGGGGGGGAAATATCATTATGACATAAATGTTTTTCTCAAATACAGGTTGGACACAATTATTGGTACCCCTAGAAATTCTTATGAGTAAAATATCTGTGAAGTATATTCCCATTCATATTTACTTATGAGTAAAATGTCTGTGAAGTATGTTCCCATTCATATTTACAATTTTGAGCATACCAGGGTGATTATGAACATGAAATTATCCAGCCATGGCTTCCTGTTTCACAGGAATATAAATAGGAGGGAAAACAAAGGCCAAATTCCCTTAATCATCCATCACAATGAGAAAAACCAAAGAATATATTTCTGATGTGCAGCAAAAGATAATTGAGCTTCACAAATTAGAAAGTGACTAAGAAAAGAGCTAGAGTAGTGAAAATTCCCATTTCCATATGAGACATGAGATTTTGACGGTATGATAACCTTAAGCAAAAATATCACGGTTTCACGGTATTGTCGTTACAGCTCTAAAATGTATTATTTTTAAATGACTGGGTAAAAAAAAAAAACTTTTTTTCCGCTGAACACAATATATTTAGTTTTTGAGCAACATACAGAATATTAGGAACAGTAGAAT